TACCAGACAAGGATGCCCTTTATCACCATTCCTATTCAATATTGTTTTGGAAGTCTTAGCCAGAGCTATAAGGCAAGATAGAGAAATTAAAGGCATCCAAGTTGGCAAAGAGGAAATAAAAGTCTCTCTATTTGCAGATGATATGATACTATATGTAGAAAACCCCGAAGACTCAGCCAAAAAAAACTACTGGAACTCATTGGAAGATTCAGCAAAGTGGCAGGGTGCAAGATCAACATACAAAAATCAGTTGGATTCCTCTATACTAATGACAACACTGAAAAGGAAATTAGGAAAGCAATGCCATTTACAATAGCCACCCAAAGGATGAAATATTTAGGAATAAATGTAACCAGAGAAACAAAGGACCTATACAAAGAAAACTACAAAACACTACTATAAGAAACCAAAAGAAACTTACAAAAATGGAAGGATATACCATGCACCTAGATAAGAAGACTTATTAACATTGTAAAAATGTCAATACTACCCAAAGCAATCTACACATATAACGCAATCCCAATCCAGATTCCAATGACGTTCTTTAGAGAGATGGAAAAAACAATTACAAACTTTATATGGAAAGGAAAGAGACCCAGGATAAGCAAAGCACTGCTTAATAAAAACAAAGTAGGAGGCCTCTCACTCCCTGATTTCAAAATTTACTACATGGCTACAGTGGTCAAAACAGCCTGGTATTGGTACGATGAAAGATACATAGGTCAATGGAACAGAATTGAGAATCCAGAAATTAACCAATCCACATACAGCCAACTGATCTTTGACAAAGGGCCTAAATACATCGAGTGGGAAGACATAAGTCTCTTCAACAGATGGTGCTGGCAGACCTGGAAATCAATATGCAAAAGATTGAAACAAGACCTTTACCTCACACCATATACAAAGACCAACTCAGCATGGATTAAAGACCTAAATGAGAAACCCAGAATTATAAAGGTTATCAATGAAAAAATAGGGACAAATTTAAGGAAGTCATTTGAACTGCAACGTCGGTGGTTCAAGCACACCAGCTGCTTCTTGGAAACTCTATACAGGGTCGCTATGGGTCGGAACCAACTTGATGGCACTTCACAACAACAACAACAATCCTGGGAACACACAGACTACAAAACATTGTGAAAATTACACAAACAAAAGAAGACAAAATAGATGACTGGGACATTCCAAAAATTAGAAACTTATGTGCATCAAAAGATTTCATCAAAAGAGTAAAAAGGGAGCCCACAGAATGGGAAAAACTCTTTTGCAATGACGTGTAAGACAAGGGACGAATTTCTAAAATCCATAGGAAACTACAACACTGCTACAAGAAAAAGACAAGTAACCCAGTTAAAAAATGGGCACAGGACATGAACAGATACTCACATAGAAGACATCTGGGCAGCCAACAAACATATCAAGAAATGTTCACTATCATTAGCCATTGTTGTTGTTGTTGTTGTTGTTGTTAGGTGCCATCAAGTAGTAGTGACTCATAGCGACTGTGTGCACAGCAGAATAAAACACTGCCCGATCCTGGGCCAACCTCACTATTGTGTCCATCGATGCTGCCACTTGGCCAATCCATCTCATTGGGGGCCTTCCTCTTTTTCTCTGACCTTCCACCTTACCAAACACGATAACCTTCTCCAGCGATTGGTTCCTCCTGACAATATGTCTCAAATATGAGAGACGAAATTTGGCCATCTTGGCTTCCAAGGAGCACTCTGCTGCACTTCTTCCAAAACGGATCATTGGTTCTTTTGGCAGCCCATGGCACTTTCAATATTCTCCAACACCATAACTCATATGCATCAATTATTCTATGGCATTCCTTATTTACTGTCCAGCTTTCGCATGCATATGAGGTTATTGAAAATACCATGGCTTGGGTCAGGCACACTTTAGTCTTCAAGCTGACATCTTTGCTCTTCAACACTTTTAAAAGATCTTGTGCAGCAAATTTGCCTAATGTAATACGTCGTTTGATTTCTTGACTGCTGCTTCTGTGCATGTTGATAGTTGATCCACAAAGAACAAAGTCCTTGGACTTCATCAGCCATTGGTGGTGGTAGTGTGATGTGCTGTGGAGTTGGTTCTGATTCATAATGACCCTGTACAGGGTTTCTGAGGCTGTAAATCTTTATGGGAGCAGAAAGCCTCCCATGGAACAGCTGGTAGTTTTGAACTGCTAACCTTGAGGTTTGCAGCCCGATTCGTTAACCACTACGCTACCAGAGCTCCTTTCATCAGCTATTAGAGAGATGCAAATCAAAACAACAATAAGATATCATCTCACACCAGCAATAACAACGAAGTTCAAATATGCAGAGGATAATAAATGTTGGCGAGGATGGGGAGAGACTGAGACCCTCCTACATTGCTGGTGGGAATGCAAAATAGTCCAACCACTCTAGAAAACAGTATGGTGCTTCCTCAGAAAGCTGGAAATAGAAATACCATATGATCCAGCAATTCCTCTACTTGGTACGAGCCAGAACATGAGTAGATATATGCACACCAATATTCATAGCAGCACTATTCACAATAGCAAAAAGATAGACACAGCCTAAGTGCCCATCAATGGAAGAATGGATAAACAAACTTTGGTACATATGCACAATGTAATATTATGCTACCTTGAAAAATAACAAGAAAGCTGCAAGCCACCGCATAACATGGATGAACCTTGAGGACATTATGCTGAGTGATATCAGTCAGTGGCAAAAGGACAAATATTGCATAAGACCATTATTGTAAAAGCTTAAGAAAAGATACCTAATCTAAAATGAAAACAAACAAAAAAAAGAATGGAGGATTATGAAGAACATTTCCAAGGCATTTTGCCAGCATATTTAAAGAGATACAAAAAGCATTTTAGGTTTGGTCAAGTTTGCAGACTTAGGGTGACAAAAGGATTTGGGAAGCTCTTCCCCATCCTGGAACCCAACTACATAAACCTAAGAACACTACCTTCTGGGGATGCAAGTCAGAGTTTTAATCCTAAATATCAGAAAATGCAAAATGTTTAAAGAGTAACATTACATAAGACTCTGTCTTTTATTTACCTTTGCTTGCTAAACTTTGAATGGCTCTATTCCCTGCCTCTGATTGTTTCCTATATATTTCCTGCTAAGAGTTTACAAAACAGCACCCTTGAACAGTAAGGTGAGAAACAAAAGAAGCACACCTATTTGTCTAATAACATCAAGGGGGAAAACTGCTAGCTCATCCATTTTCTTGTTAAGTTGCTCAAAAGGATTAAAATACCAATTAACATTCTGGCTCAAACTCTTCAATACTCTCAGATTCACTGACAGTTTGAAGCTACTGTTCATACTTGCCTAAGTGGTTTTCTGATTATGAACAAAGACATGCCAATCTGTTTAGCATTTGACTTGTTTTCTTAAATATTTTGATGTATTCAACACATACTTGCTAAAAATACTTGACTAGTCACATTCATGAACTAAAATTATCTTTTGTTGCTGTTGTTCCACCTCCAAATTTAAGAGGGAAAAGGGAGTTCAAAAATACAGCTTTTTAAAAAGACATTTCTCTCTTACTTTTAATTTAAAAGCTCTCTTTACAAGATTTTTTTTCTTTCTTGTCTTTCCCATGGAATTTATTGATGTTTGAAAGATGTGATGAAGCAAGTGACCAGATCTAGGATCCATTCTTTATCAAAAAAATTTTGGAAAAATGACCTTTGGCAAAAGTTAGAGAATGGAGGTTAAAAAGAAATTAAAGCTATCTTGTTGATGAGGTAGATTTTAATAATGGATTTCAATTTTCTATTCAAGTCATTCTCAGACTACAGTGCTACTCAGAGTGTGTTTTGGTTTTGGTCATTGTTCTTCTTTTCTTTGCTGAAGGTTCTCTGAAAATTCATATTGTTTTGGTTGTTAAGTATATTCAAGTCAGTTTCAACTCATAGTGACTCTGTATAGGGTTTCTGAGAAGGATCTGGTGAGTTTGAACTGCCAACCATGTGGTTTAAACTGACCTTGCAGTCCAGTGCATCATCCTACAGCACCACACCTATAATCAAACACACAGACTCCTGGAGGGGTGCTGTAGGGTAAGCTCTGGACTGTCAACCACAAGGTCAGCAGTGCAAACCCTCCAGGCACTTCCCAGAAACTCTATACAGGGTCATTATGAGTCGGAACTGACTTGATGGCACATAACAATAACAATCATATACACACACAAGACATCCCTAGGCAGCTGTGCAGGAAAGATCAGCATTTCATTCATATGTAAAAGCAATGTCTGGATTTAGAAGGCTCTAACCAATTTACTTAAATAAAGATCGATTAAATGCCTATTACAAGGCAGTGAGCTCAGAAGACTAAAATATAGACAATGGAATCAGACTGCCTGCATTTAAATATTGGCCTTACCATTTACTAGCACAGGCCTTAGGAAAGTCACTTCATTTCTGTGCCTTAGTTTCCTCATCTGTAAAGTGGGGTGATAATAGATCCTACCTGATGGTAGTGTTCTAGATTAAATAAGATGATATGTTTTAGGACAGTGTGATATAAGTGTGACTCAAGGCACTTAACCACCACAACAACAATCATATCATATCACATCTTACATCATATTGTTATCATGCTAGATCCTGAGAGAGAGGAGTTGGGTATTTTGATGCATTTTCATTCACCAGAATTTTGACCTATTTATGAAGGGAGACTCTCATCATACCAACTATCTGGAAAATTTGAAGCATAAAGATATAAAGTATATAAAATATTTGCTTAAGCATATAAAATAGTCGGGAGCTTACTTCCTCCAGATTTCTGCAGTTTAGTTGGTGCTGTAAAAGCATCAAAAAAAAGAGCAACATTCAAGCAAGAAACACTAGCTGATAACTAGCTAGCCAATTACATGTTTGGAAGGAAATAGCCAGGGGGAGTAAAACCCAGTGAACAGGAATGACTATGGTAGAGCTATAAAATTTAACATCATGTATTTTAAAAATGCAGCCTGACCTTTTCACAAACTCTTCAAAGAGGATGCGATGAGAATATCCTTGCTGGCGGATGCTGACTGTCTCCAGGATCCCTGTGGAGCGGAGCTGGGTTAACACTCTCTCTTGGGAGAACATCAGGGCCTCTCGATCATCATTGGGTTTAATGCAGCGCACAAAGTGAGGCTGGCCCACCACCATTTTGGAGAGCAGGTCCATCAGTGAATACTACCAAGGAGGAGGATAAAAAAAACACACGAAATGAGATAGCCACAACATAATCTACCTACCAGTGGCCACTGAGTTGACCCTGATTCATGGTCACCCCATGTGTGTTAGAGTGGAACTATGTATGCTCCTTAAAGTTTTCACTGGTGACTTTTTGGAAGTAGATTGTCAGGTCTATTGTACGAGGATCCTCTAGGTGGTCTTGATTCTCCAATGTTTAGATTGGCTTCTTAGCCTGTTTAACCATTTGCACTATCCAAAGACTCCTCTGCAACCTAATGGATATTTGTAATGCAGGCCTGCAGGGACCTCTGGAACAGTTAGAAGCTTGTGAACAACTCATGGAGCTCTTTGAGATAGTAAAGATAATCAGCAATGGGAGGTGATAATATAAATTCTGACTCAATTTCTAGTTGCCTGAGGATTCGACTGCATTCTTTGAGTAGAACAAGTCCCACTAAATATGCTTCATGGCCGAAATTTAGATGTGTAAGAACAGAAACTTAGGTACAGTGGCAGCAGCAATTGGCTCAAACATAACAATAATTGTGAGGATGGTGCAGGACCGGGCAATGTTTCATTCTGTTATGCATAGGGTCACTATGCATTGAAACCTACTTGATACACTTAATAACAAGAACATGCTCCACATTACCCCCTAGCTGTGCCACCAGAACTAGAATGTCTATGTCTGGTCTTACAAGGTGATATCTAAAAACTGTTTCTAGAATTTAGAATGTCCAGCTTTTAGAGCAGAGGTTTGTTGCCTCTTCAGTTTAAGAGCCATGAGAAAGTCTGAGCACCACCAGAAGGTCTGAGCACCACCAGAAGGTCTAAGCTAGGGATACCATTTACCACGAGTTAGTCAATAAAGGGAAAAACAGAGAAAGAGACAAGAGGAAAAAAATGATGAAGAGATCAAGCAACATATTCCAAGAGAGTGGGCTTACACCGTGGAAGATAAGAGGACGTAGAAAAACAGATGGGAAGTTGTGTAGGGGAACCTCAGTTGTTTTTCAGGGGCATCTATTTTTGAAGTTATTCTTTTGCACATGCCTTCAAGGGTAAGTTAGAAGGCCACATAGAAAATCAGTTCCATTATTTTATAAGCACACCTTTTAATGAACAAATATAATGTTCCCAGCTTATTTTTCAGATTAAGTATTTAGAGACCTACTGGTATGCTGCAAAACTTTATTTTGAGGATAAAAATTGATAGTAATGGGCATATTTCTGAAAGAAAAACAAAAACAAAAAACACATTAGGCCGAGGCTTTTTTGCTAATGTAGAGATAGATCTTAAGGATGACTTCACAGAATTAATCAAAGTCTCCAAATCTCATGAGAAAACAAAGACACCAGGTAAGAAATAAGAAGCATTTCGATAGGTCCAGACATCAGAGGATGAAGTACAGGTTGAATGCCCATCTGCCAGAGAAGCTGTAGCAGGTGTAACTGCATGGGATGGAGGGCTAGACTCAAAGGCCTCTGGGAACACTGCAGTTCACACACTGAGCCAAATCCTAGTCTGGCTTTGAAGCACAGCTGACAACGGCTCCTTGACTTTAGATCTTTCTTAAATCAGAGACTTATATCCAGATCCTGGCTTCTAGACCCTGTCCCTCAGTCTGCTTGAGTCCTCCAGCTTCCCACCTACCTGGCCTCCCATCCCAGCTAAGTCACTCCCTGTGCCAACCCCACTTTACAGCCTTATTCTGCTGCTCCCTAAAGTCAGTTCTATTTTTGGCCTAATTGTATTCACAGTGAAGTTGCTGGATCTTAGTTCCTGTGGTAGACGGTCTCTAAATGGCTTCCAATTTTAAGGCTCTGTGATTTGAAGATAAACAGATCTGTGCATTGGTATAAGTGTGCCTGGGTTCTTATCTTTCCTATAAGTATACATTTTACAGAGGTCTTCTCGAGATTGTTTTCACTCAAAGGCATTATTTTACAAGTTGAAATATCAGGAGTTGAGGCAGCAGAAATGAAAAATACTTGGGGACTCAGGGAACTATCATGCAATGGGTCAGTTCAATCCAGGAAAATAAAATTGATGCTAAGACAGATTCCCTCAGTATCTGAATTTAGAAAGCTACCTTCTGGAATTTTATAAAAAATTCAGTATGGACTCTTGTGGAAAGGCTTGGTAAGTCCTTTTTGGAAGTAAGTAGAATATAGATCAAGAAGAACCTTTACCCGGAAGTAAGAAGCCATGGTTTGCCTTTTCATGTTGGTGGTTTCTCCTGGATGCCGTATCACCTCCAGTGTATCCACCTGGAAGAAAAGGTATAGAGAAGTCAACTGAGGAGTTAAGAACTTAATCCACTTTCTGGATTTTTCACAGTCTGGACTGGCAATATTTAAGGGACCATGGAGTTTAGAACACAATAGTGTGTGCTGTGGGAAGAATTGTAAAAGACAGTAGAATAAAAGGATTTGTGCAGTTCTGCTGGTTTGGCAGTCCTGATGTGGTGCTGCGGGTTAATGTGCTGGACTGCAAAGTCAGTTTGAACCGCAAAGTTGGTGGTTCAAGCTTACCAGCTGCTCCTCGGAAACCCCATACAGGGCTGCTATGAGTCAGAACTAACTGGATAGCACTTCACAACAACAACAGGTTTGGCAAAGGAGTGCAGTGGCTCCATATGATAAGCACTGGACAGCGAACCACAAGGTTGGCGGTTTGAGTCCACCAGCCACTCCATGGGAGAAAGATAAGGCTTTCTGCTCCTGTGACGCCTCGGAAACTGTATACAGGGTCTCTATGAGTTGGAACCAACTTGACAGCACTTAACAACACCAACTGGTTTGGCAACATGATTTCACTGTATGAAGTACTACTTATATGCTCAGTAAACATATCATCATTTTATTTCCATACTTCTCTAGGGTCTAATGGGCCCCTGTTGGTTCTCCAATCATGTCGCATGAAACTAAAATGTTTCTTAAAAGAAAACCAGGCAAAGGTCCATGAGACTGAGTGATCAGAAAGACCTGGGCCCAAAGTCCAGCTTGTACATCAAAGAACTAGGCAAGTGCTAGTGTCCTTGCAAAGGGGTCACTCAGTGATGCAACAGCACACCGCCTGCCTCCCACAGTTTCCCATGAGCTCTCTGCAGATGGGGCCTATACACCTGTTCCAAATCATCCATCCCAATTACCTGGGCCTTATGAATGAAAACAATTGTGGATATCAATTGCAAAGAGCCCACATTTTGTTATTGTAGCTCAGTGACAAAAGCCCTGCTCCTGCACATATAAAATTATTTGTTTTATAAAGTGCAAGAGTGCCATTTCAACGCCATATCTACATTTCAGCCGTGGCAGCTTCCCATCTGCTCCGAACAGGTGGCAAGGGTATGAAGCAGGAACGTCTGAACTGGAAGACGCTGCTATCAGCATGTGTGTTCTGCTCGGTGGACTGCTGTCCGGGCAGCCCCCTCCCCACCCGGTGAAGATGTCTGCAGTCTTGTTCAACAAAGGTGAAAAACAGGTGCTGGAAGAGGGTGGCCTGAGGGGGGATAATGAGGTTTACCTGGAAGTGCACCCTTTTAAAGCACTGTGTCCAAATCAAGAGGAAATGCTTTAATCGGATTGGATAAAGAAAACTAGTTCATTGAAGATGGGGGAGAAACGTGGAGCTAAGGTTTCACTAGAAAAAAAAACCTAAGCAGTGACCAGGAATCTGACCTGAGTGAAGGGATACAGGGGGACAGTACAGTTTATTGTAAAGGATTGAAGTAGGGGTGCATTTCTAAAGTCATCAGCTTATCTGCTGCTCCTCAGAAACCCTATATAGGGTCACTATGGGTTGGAACCAACTCGACAACACTTAACAATAACAACAACAACAAAGCAATGATAAATAAAGGAGTCCTACTGTGGCACTGTAAGATAAGTTTTTGGACAGCAAGGTCAGCTTATACGGAAAGGTTGGCAGTTCAAACTCATCAGCCGCTCCTCAGAAACCCTACACAGGGTTGCTATGACTTAGAACCAACTCCACGACACTTAGCAACAACAAAGCAATGATACAGCAGCTTGTAGGTTTGACTTTCTATTTTATATGAGAAAGGAGGAAATGAAAGCTTGCATGTTTAGAAGGAAGGCTGTCCTAACATGGAAAAATGAAAAACAAATGCAACAAACCTAGCCCGTCTGTAGAGATGGTACTGGGGTCTCTCCACAGCCATTTGATGGATCCACACTGAAGGTCACCTTCCCCAGCGTATCCCCATTATAGACTAAATTGTGTCCACCCAAAAGATATGTTAAAAGTCCTAGCCCCTCCAACTGTGACTGTGACCTTGTTTTTAAATAGGGGTTTCTTTTGTCATATTAATGAAGTCATAAGGTAGTAAGGTGAGTCGGAACCTTAGTCACTCTGAGGAGTGACATAGGGGGACTACAGAAAGAGAGAGAAGAGACCACGTGAGGATCTGCCTACCAGTCAAGAAGGCCAAGAAACACCTGAGACTACCAACAAGGAAAGACCTGCACCTAGAACTGATGCCCTGATTCCGACGGCTAACTTCCATCACTGTGGAGTCTCTGTTACAACAGCGCTAGGAAACTCAGACACCCATTGGAGGGTGAAGCTCAGAGTTGGTGAGGTTTTAGGTCAGACTAAGCTAATCAGGACTGAGGAGAAAAAGATCTTGGCTGGGGACTGTGTAATGGATTAAATTGTGTTCTAAAATATGCTGTATATTGGTGCTGTGGGCTAATGCACTGGACTGCAAGATCTGTTTGAATCACCAGTTAGCGGTTCCAATTCACCAGCCACTCCTCAGAAACCTTCTACTGTGTGGCTATGAGTCAGAACTGACTCGACAGCACTTAACAACAACAACAATAGCACCGTAGGATAAGCACTGTACTACTAACCTCAAGGTTGGCAGTTCAAACCCACCGGCTACTCCTCAGAAACCCTATACAGAGTCAATATGAGTGGGAAGTAACTTGACAGCACTTAACAACAATATTGTGGATGTAATCCCACTTGGGAATAGGATTTAACTGTGCAAATGAGGTTTTATCAATGGAAAGTGTGTCTTAAACCAATCACTTTTGAGATATAAGGAATAGGTTAGGCACAGGAAAGCACAGCTAAGAGAAGACATATGCCACGCCACTTGAAGATCACCAAGGAGCCAAGAAACGAAGCTTAAGTGAGACAGGACCTTCCGTCAGAGTTGACAAAGAAAGCCTTCCCCTAGAGCCGACATCGTGAATTAGCCTCCAGTAGGTCAACCATTGGGCTGCTTCCTGCAAGTTTGGTGATTCGGATCCACCAGCCACTCCATACATAGAAATAGAGACTGTCTGCTTCCAAAAAATGTACAACCTCAGGAACCCTATGGAGCAGTTCTGCTCTGTCCTATATATTCCCTATGAATCAGGATCAACTCAAAGAGAGGGGTTTGGTTTGGGTTAAATTGACAGAAAGCATAGAACACCAAAACGATGTTTGCCTGTGTTTTATTGATTACGCAAAGGCACTCAACTATGTGGATCATAAAAAATTATAGATAACATTGTGAAGAATGGGAATTCCAGAACAATTCATTGTGTTCGTGAGGATGAAAACAGACCAAAGGATTACTGTGTAGTTTAAAGTCAGGAAAGGTGTGAGTCAGGGTTGTATCTTTTCAAGACACTTATTCAATCTGTGCGCTGAGCAAATAATCCAAGTAGCTATGCTATACGATGGAGGAAAACTCATTAGCAACCTGTGATATGCAGATGATACAACATTGCTTGCTGAAAAACAAAAGGACTTGAAGCACTTATACTGATGAAAATCAAAGATTACAGCCTCATTGTGGATTATACCTCAATATAAAGAAAGCAAAAGTCCTCACAACTGGACCAATAAGCAGCATCATGATAGACAGAAATGATTGAAGTTGTCAAGAATTTCATTTTACTTGAGTCCACAATCAATAAGCATGGGAAGCAGCAGTCAAGAAGTCAAAGGACACATCGCATTGGATAAATCTGCTTGAAAGTGTTAAAAAGCAAAGACGTCGCTTTGAGGACCGAGGTGTGCTTGACCCACACCATAGTATTTTCAATTATCTCATACTCATGGGGAAGTTGGACAATGAATAAGAAAGACCATAGAATAATTGATGTATTTGAATCATGGTGTTGGCAAAGTATGTTGAATATATATATCAAGGACTTCCCGAAGAATGAGCAAATCTGTTTCTGAAGAAGTACAGCCAGAGTGCTCCTTAGAAGATAGCGAGACTTCATTTCACATCCTTTGGACATTTTATCAGGAGGGACATTTTATCAGAAGGACATAATGCTTGGCAGAAGGTCAGTGAAAAAGAGGAAGCCCCTCAATGAGAAGGAGTGACAAGTGGCTGCAATATGGGCTCAAACACAGAAGCGATTATAAGGGCGTTGTTTTGTTCTGCTATATACTTAACGGTTGTTATGAGTAGGCACTGAGTCAAGGGCACTGAACAACAGAAAACTGTGAGAAAATACAATTTTGTTCATGTTGTTCATTGTGGTATTTCTTTATAGAAGCACTAAGAAACAACGTATTTTCACATACATTATAAATTCTGAGTTTTCTTCACCATTTTTCTTCCTAATTTCTTTCCTCTCACTTGATCTTTCACACATGTACACACTAAACTTTTGGAAATTCCTCTACCTCTTTCTTTTTAATTCCGAGATCCTCCCTAAAGAGTACTTCTTGCTTTGAACTGTACTTTTTTTAGTTCTTTTCTTATTTAAATTAGCTATTGAATACCGGCCCCTCAGATTCTGGCTCACAGAAAAAGGACAGCTGGAAAGCTCGTCCATGTTTCTACATTAGTAGTTGTTGATGGATTTACCTGTTACTTGCAACTTGCCCTCTGAATGCATAGCAACACTTGCATTTTAGAATTTAACAATTTACTGATCAGAAAATTCTTGATGTATATTCATTCTGCTGAGGCATAATTAAATATATATATTTATATATA